CCGGGACTGCCGCTTTTTTGAATTGTAGGAAAAAGTGTGCGGAAAAAAAAGTCTGCGTCTTCATCGTCTGCTTGCTCAAGAGACATCGTGTACGCATGATCTATGTCGCACACCGTTTCCATTGGCTTCTCCCGCATTAGGCGGACGGAGCTCAACGCCCAATGCCAGGCATTTCTACTCACCAGTTCGCATAACGGATACTGAGCTTCTTCCTGAATCGGCTCCAACATGTTTACTTCCGCAGCCCGTTCAGGCGGTGGCCACCTAAAACAACAGATCAAACCTGTTAATATCGCAGACAATGATTTCTATCACCTTTGCTATTTATCGGTTACAGAAACCTAATCGCCATGATTTCCAAGAATGCGGCTGGTAGTACGAAGCTTCACAAAGCACCATCAAGTTAAAAATCGAAAAGGGCGTCCAACCGGGATATGAAGTATCGCCAAAGTTATTTACCGCCGCCCTAGGTGTTTTCAAGGCACTCGGTTGGGAAGATCAAGAACTACACATAAATGCGCACAACTTAAACTATCAGCGAGTTTCGGATGATCTGATCTTTTCAATGTCACCAAAAGAAGGTCAAATAAGAATTCAATCATGAAAGAACGCATGAAAGCAGAATTGAAACTGAAGCTGCAGAAGATTCGAGTTACGTTTTTAACAAATACGTGATCCCGGACTTGTTGAAGTCGGGTGGAAAACGGCTTGAAGAGGTGCAAAACTTGTGAAAATGTGCATTTGTCGAAGACTGTAAATGTTCTGATACAAGAAATTGCATTTGTACTTGAAAAGTTTTCGATCAGTGTGTACTAACAGTGCTAACTTGTGGATGCGAAACGTGGACTGTAAGTCTGAAAGATATTCATAAAGTACAGACAACGCAACGCAGCATGGTAAGAGGTTGGTAATAATCCTGAAAGACAGAAACACAAATAAATGAATAAGAACGGAAACAGGAGTTTGTGATGTCATTGTCCGAGCGAAGAAGTTAAAGTAGCAATGCATAAGGCACGTTGCACGAATAATCAACTCTCGCTGAACCAGAAAGACATGAGACTAGGTTCCAAGAGAGAGCAAACTGTCAGTAGGATGATTTCTAGATAGATGGCAAAAACTGGAAGAATCCATTATCCAGCAGTGGATCGACAAAGGCTGATGACGATTTATAGGCTACGCTTTAGGCTGATCATCAGGTCAGCATACAAATGGGTCAAAGTTAAGATGTGGTATAACCATGCCAGGAAATTATACTGTCTAACAGTGCTCAATCCGAAAACTTGTGTGCAATCCAATCTTCGACCGATTCCATCGCACCACGGTGGCGACGAATTCATTTCTGAAGAGAAGCAAAGAAGAATAAAAATTGATCCACATCCAAAAGTCTAACCGCAACCCTCTATAAGTGCATAAGATCAATGCGCCCACGATTCTCAAAGAATTCACCCATATTCGCAATCAACATTATTCTTTCATGAAAAAAATTTTAAAATGCACCGGCGAACGGACATTAAAATCAAATATTGATCGAAAGGAAGTACACCTAGAGAATATAACATTTGCTAGGTATTAGGTGTTATACTCTTTACTTATGGTCCGAAAACAAATTTTCCGACAAGGCAAATCTTGAACGACACAACATCGCAACGACAATTAACTTTACTAGTTAGTCCTAATGGCAATAAAACATAACACGAGAACGCGATATATCGGACTCAGAACTAAGAGAAAAAGGATTCGAGGCCCGGTCGGGTCACTAGCCTTTCTTTGTTACAATGACGATAAATGAGCACTACCCTGAGGAAAAGAAACAGGAAACCACACACTATACTTATCATATAGCTGCTGTCGTCTCGGTGTTTGAAATAAGGCAGTTCTGTCTAACGGCAAGAAAGTGAAGATCAGCACCACATCATTAACTTGAAAAACGAGGAAGTGAAAAATGTACCCGCCAATCATGAAAGCAAAACTGATGCACCAACAGTTACAAAAGTATTTCTTTCCTTATACCATCGCAAAACAAAACCACGTGTGCAGACGACACAAGAATAACGAAAAAGAAATTTGTGCAGAAATTTTCGAAGTATCAGAGCGATCCCTAGCAAAAGTTCAATAAATAATCTCGGGAAGAACTCTAGCAAAAGCATTGTGAATGAAGAAAGTACAGGATGCTGTTTTTTATTGCCTAATTTTCTATTGACCGAAAAAAGCCACGTTATTCTACCACGCTGTAGCCTCCAAAAACGCCTGTTTAAACACCATAAATTATAAAGTGGGGAAAAGAAGCAGATTCATCACCTTTCATGGTAGTGCATAATCACGCAACAGGGCATTCATAGAAAAATATCTCCAAACGTTAATTTTAAAATAGATGCAAGTAAGTCATCAAAAATAACACTGACTGCTTACTGATAACCTCATATCGTAAACAGAGAGTGAAACAAGTCAAAAAAAGTTCTTACTTAACTGATTTCGGTGATTGAACGCCCCAAAACTAACAACGTAGAGATATGTATTGTAGTGAAATATGATAGATAGGGTTTATACGTGCAAATATTAATTACTATTACAATAATGAAACAGAAGCTTTTTCATCTCATACAATAACCCAGTTGTACAACGTTCTGGTAACGTACTGATATCGTATCGGTGTAAAGTCAAATGCATTTACTTATCAAAATAAGAGCATCAACTTGGGATGAAATATGATTGGTGCCAGTCTTATTCTTCATATCTGACAGTCTTTCTTCAGGGTAAATGAAACCAAGAAACTATATTTGGAGACGTAGGAGACGTTTTTCAATAAAAACTGCAAAGAAAATTTTGGGTATCTCCTTCGGACAAAGTTTAAAAACAGTTAATTAATATAAATTAATTGTTAATTCATATAAACAATTATTGCATTTCATTTTATTTACAGAATGGTTCACTCAATATTCACGGAATGCGCAGCCCCTTGTTACATCCGGACCATGATTTGCAACAATATTGCATTTCAATTTGGCCAACAATTTCTCAGCAGGATAAAACCCTATGAATGGAACTCTCCTTTTTTTCAATGATGACTTTGATTCGATGTCGGGGTCGTGGCTTTTCCTGGTGCATAGACAATGACTTTGGTATTAATATAAGAATGCAAGAGCGGTGCTACGAATTTTCAGCAAGAGACGGAAATCTTAGTAGCATATACTTGTTAACAATTTGATCATAAGACGAGTTATTGTATGATGATGAGTTTGTCGTGGGAGACGATTTTAAATGGGATGTAAGCACGAAAAATTTAATCATATACTCGAAGAATGCATGCTGAATGCCGATTGCTCTTGATTTTTGTCTGTTACCCGCGGTTGTCTCTAGATCCTTTCTATTTCGCCAATTGGCTTCGGTGCGGACTACACTGCATTACGCTGAACTCCGTTGAATGGCATTGTCCTTTGGTATGCTTGGCTCTGCAACGACAAAACCCTTTTCATTTGCTTTTCAGATGCTAGGCGTGTGTTCATAAATTGTCCAAAGATTTCTTCGTGAATTGACAGGCATCAGCATGCTTTATTCGGCTCAGGATCAAATTGTCGACATGCAAATGCAATTTAAACCGCTGTCTAGCGCTGCCAAATTAATCATCAAGCCTTTACAGTTTTTCACTAATACAAAAGTCAAAATGCTAGAAGGAAAACTGCTGTAAGCGGAACAGAAATCATCATCCAAAAGGAAGGGATGTCACCTAAACCAGATTTGATCTTACTTACATGAGTTTTGTCACAACAAAATGTAAGATCGATGTGACTATTGCCCCGAATGTACGAATGGTTGCGCATTTCCTAAACCAGAACTAAACTATATAATAATTAAACGACAGAAAAAACATTTATGTTCAGTTAATTTTTTAACATTTAATCAAATTCGGTACTTTCATTCCCTTTATTCTTATATCAAAGAGCACGTACTATTTTCAAAAGGATTGCGAGAACTTTAAGAAATAACTTTTCATTTATGACCGTCCAACCTAAGCAGGTAATTTTTTAAGTTACCGCAATAATTTTCATAGTACTAGACGCTCTTTTAAAGGAGTCTTAGCGGCATTGTGTTCTTTGGATGAAAGTTTACGAACACGTCATCTTCATTGTGATCTTCCATTGTCGCTTCTCCGAGGCAGACGCGTCAGACAGAGGGACCAACACACCCGTCCTGTGCCAGAGTTTGAACTTCGGCAAAAGACAAGCGGAGTCTGGAATAGACTCCTTCCATATGTTTGCACCAGATTAATCTTGGCCGTCCCCTGGGCGTTCCGCTGGTCGGATTTGCAAGGAACAGTTGTTTAACCTTCCTTTCTGGAGGCATTTGCAACACATGCCCAAGCCATCGCAGCTGTGACTTCTCGATCTAGAGAAGCAAACACTGTACACCAAGGCTCTCCTGGATGTCAGTATTCCGGACCATGTCGAGACGCGTAAGATCAGCGACTCGTCTAAGAAAGCCCATTTCAGCAAACTGTCCCCGGGTTCGAAGTTTTTCAGTGATGGCCCACGACTCATGACCGTAGGTAAGCATGGGGATAAAGATCGACTTGAACACCGAGGGCTTAGTTTTCAGACTGAGCTCTGCTTTAGACATAATGGATAGGGCTAGTTCACGCAGAACGCCGCTGGCTACACCAATTCGCCGGTCGATCTCTTCCTCCAAC